ATGGTGAATTAAATAGAGGTTTCCTCGTTAAAATTGAGGTGAAATCTAATTTTTATTTAAAAATCAAAATAATATTGTTTTAATAATTTTTTAAAAAATTAAATCATATTATATTAAAATATCTCAAGTCATTCAGTTAACTCACTTGATTTGTTACTTGTTTCTTAAACCAAATCATGAATTGGCTAGGTTTTATCACTATGATCAAAGGTAATCTAAAGAGTTTTTTTTTTTAATGATTCGGTGATGTTGTTGCTAGGATGGAGTAAATAAGATTAATTGTAATTATCATGACTGTTTAATTAACAAATAACCTTATAAACTAAATTTGTAGACCAACATTACACTGTAAATCAGAATAATTTTTTTATTAATTTAAAAATAAGCTCAAGCAATACAAACATGTTTTTTAAAAAAAAAATGCAAAAACTACTCAACAACTCAATTTATAATATAGACCTGTCTAAGAAAAAAAAAATATAATTAAATAAAAAAATAAAAAGAAAAGTAACAACTAATGGGTCATTATAAACATAAAAAAACAATAAAAAACCTAAAAAAATATATAAAAAAGGAGCCGCACTCAAAAGAGAACAAAGCTAGGATTTAAGCTAATCAAATGGAGGAAAAATGATCTAACTTGGCATAAGTTAACATGTAAAATATATAAATCAAGCATGAGATTAAAATAAGCTAGTAAAAATGAAATAAAAAAATTAAATTCAATCCAAATCAAATCAAATCAAATAAGATTAAAAAAAATAATTAAAAAAATTATCACAAGCATTTTTTAAATGTAAAAACAAAAATACTCCATGCAAGTCAATAAAACTCTACAATTCTAGATCATATGAATAAGATAATTCAGTAAAAAATAAATTACAAAAATTACAAAATTAAATTCTAAAAAATAAATTAAAAAAATTACAAAATTAAATTTTAAAACAATTTAATATTGAATTATATAACATAAAAAGATATTGATTTTTTTTAAACGATTTTAAAAAAAATGAGTTAACCTAAAAAAACTCATGTTCTAAGTAATGAGACCAAAATAAATAAACAGAAAAAAATTAAAAGAAATCATGAATCTCAATATAAAAAAACTTAAACCTTGAAGGATGGAAATGACAAAAAATTTAGTCCTCAATCAATCTAACATTGAAAAAAATAAAATAAAAATTATTAATTTATAAAAATTACCAAAGCAAATTCAACAAAGAACAACAATAAAAAAGAACTAAGATTACTCGAATAATTTTCAATTTTTTTGAAAAATATAGAGAAAAAATAAAAATAATATAGTCAAATCTTTAATTGAATAAATGATGAATGATCATAGTAGAAAATATGAATTAAAAAAAATCAGGTGAACTTTTTAACATGAGTTAATATCTAAAACTTATAACCTATGAAATCCTAAATCTAAGTATAATAAAAAAAATCAATTTTCAATTAATTTAATATTCAAGGATAAAATTAAAAAAAAATTAATTTTAAAAAAATTGTTAAAGTGAAGAAAATAACAATAAAAAAATAAAGATAAAATTTTATAGGAAAAAAAACTTAAGGATGATAAAATTATAAAAAAATTAATTTAAAAAATATCTCAAATAAATAAAAATAATAATCAAAATAATTAGGATAAAATTTGAAAAATAAAAAACTAAAGTGCAATGAAATTGGAAAATAATTTTTAAATTTATAAATTATTTTAAATAAAAAATAAAAATTAAAAGAATAAAAATTAAATTTGAATGGATAACAAATTAAATACTTTAAAATAATTACACTTGAGATGGCAAAGAACAAGCATTTCAAAATCGCGGTAACTTATCTTTTAAATACTTTCTTAAAAGAATAATTATTTTAAAAAATATTAAAGTAATGTTTTTATATTAAAAATAAAAGAACAAATAAATTATTATGATACATGACAAATAAAAATGATGGAACTTGAACGAAGCAGGGGCCACAGATGGGTCAAATCCCGTCAATTACGGGGTCTAACACTTTCTGAACCAGACACAACACAGGTTCCATGATCAGCTATTCAAGGTAATTTACTGATTTGTCGATGGGGCATGCATTTTATATGTACATTAGTTCGGATATTTGAAAAAAGTTAGGTTGTAAAAAGTATTTTTATTTAAGTTTAAATTAAAAAAATATATATTTGGTTAAAATTATAGTTAAAGTAAAAATAAAAATAAAAATAATTTAATAAATATTTTTAAAATTGAGGATATAAAATTATATATATATATATATAATAGGATAGATTTTAATTTAAATATTATAAATTTAACTATTTTTATTACATCATTTAATAAATAATATTTTATATAAAATATTTTTATTATTCCATTCAATTATGTATAATTTCATCATATTTGAAATATATCTGATAATTTTTTTTAATTTTTTAAATGTGCAACAACATAATTTATAAAATATAATTAGAAATAAAATTAAAATTAAGATTAAATTCTGCAAATATTATGTAATCAATCGAATAAAACATAATAAAAAAAAAATAAAAATATTTTTTTTATTTTTTATTAAATCAGGTTCAATATATTATATATATTGGACCTTATCTGACAAAAACCATAAAACCATACTTTATTAAATCAGCCTTCATTATTTAGTAAATAATAAAAATTGCTGCACTATTTAGTGAATAATAAAAGCATGTTTTACTGTTTATTGAATAGCATAGCATAATTTTACTTTTATCTATGTAAAAAATTAGTAATTTGTTGTTTTTTTATATGTTTTATACATAATCTACTATAGAATTACTATACAATAAATTATTTTTTATCTTAATCAAATATTTATAAATTACTATTTATTTTAAAAACAACCATGTGCCAAAAAATAACAAAAACCCAAAGCTCATTCATGTCATAATTCGATCAATATAATATTAAATCATGTTACTATACAATAAGTTTTTATTTAATTATAATCTTTTGCTTGTTAACAGCATTAATATTTAAGAGTTGGCCAATAAAATCTTCAATATCCGGTCCATATGTCGTGATTTATTTGGGAATCATTAAATCTTAACGACGCTTATATTAAATAAAAACTTTATTGTACAGAGAAATAAAATATGACATTGTATTAATAAAATATTTTAATAACTAAATTAAAATCCCGTTTTCTTTCCATCAATGCATCGCATCTTCTATAGACTTATCACATGGATAGAAGAAATTATTTTGATTTTGATTTGACAAAGGAAAACAGGTAAGTGAAAAAATCTATTGTTATCATTTGAGTACGTATGGGATATTAATGGCAAGTAAAATACTAAAATATATGCGATTTTCAATTATGTTCATTGTAATACTTAGATGCAGCTTAAATAATTAGATTTTAAATTTATTTTTTTTAAATTATTAATTTAAATATGATAAATTTTAGGATTATTAAAGATTTATTTAGTGGCTATTTTTTAAAAATTTAAAAATTAGTTAAGATATACATAAATTAACCCAAACACCTACAATTATCAAAAATAAAATTATACTTACTATTTTTAAACTAATTTAAAGCAATGAGTTGAATAATAACCCAAATGACTTACACTTTAAACCTAACCAAATTAATTATATATAATCCATTTAAAAAATTAGGTTAGTTTGTGACCAGATCAAAACCATTAATTTTTTTAAAATAATGTTATTTTTACTTTTTATAAATAAAAAAACTTAATTCATTTAGATCAGCTGCTAATGAATGACTCAACACTTCCACGTTTACTCCGAACTTGTATTTAAAAACTATGATTAAGCTAGCTATTGATGAGGATTCAATTTTTTTTTTTTTTAAGAGTTGCCAGAGCTGATAAATGACAATAATTAGAATCTATTATAGTCTAACACAAGTATACAAAAATTAAAGTAGGAACGATTAGCTAAAATAGAGATCATATATAGTTCCTAATGGAAAAAAAGATGGATTCTAAAAGGATATGAAGATAGATTCTGAAAGGATATGAAGCTAAAGCAGAATTAATAACGTCTAGAAACCCATCCCATCCTCAAGAGAAGGAATGTGATGAAAGACGATTTTATTTATACATTTTTATAAAAATATATTAAATTAAAAAATTTGGTAGAGATGCGTTAAGTTTGATGTTTACCGGACCTAGACATAGATGAGTTTGACATTATATGTAACCTAGATATTTTGGGTGTGATACTAACTAAATTTAAAAGATAATTAAGTTTAATACCATCAATTTTATAGATTTTTATATAAAATTATAAATGAATTATTTTTAAATAAATAAATTTAATTAAATAAATCCATACTTTACCAAGACTACTAAATATATAAAATTATTTTATAATCAATTATTTCTCTATCTTTTAACTTGATTAAATGAGTGCAATATAGCTCATAATATAACTCAAAATATCATAAAAACAAAATTATACTATAGTATTTTTTCTCTATAAAAAAATAAAACTGATGAATTATAAATATACTGTGAAACCTTCAAAACAAAGATTCATGATTTTCATTTTTTATTGCACATGTATTTTAAAAATATTTTTAAAAATATTTTTGTATTTTATCTCTCTAAAAAAAATATTTATTTAAGTATTGGAAAGTGCATACCTCCATAGAAAATGATATTTTACATGTATTAGTCATTAATCACCTTGACTTTTCAAACATTAAATATAAATTATTAATTACTTTGACTAAAAATAAATAAATAATATTATTATAATTAAATAATTAACTAATTATTCAACTCAGCATTCTTGTTCCTTGAGACCTATTCAGAATAAAATTTCAACTACACGATGGAATCATACTATGATCCTTTATATGAAATACGGCCAAAATTTTAGTGAACTTAAAGTATCCACAACCACTTACACCCCCAACTCAAAAATATCTATCGTTGAAACATCTCTTCACATGTATTTCAGTGACCACTTATGGAAGACAAACTCTCTACTCCTCTGCTATCCATCTTCACACAAAGCATTGAATGTGGGAAGGAGAGGACCATAGTTCTGATCAATTTGGTGTATTATAGCATTCTATGGTCCCAATTTTGGATAACTACTAGGCTTTCTCTTATCCTTCTGAGCAAGTTGATGCTTTTCTTGAAGTCTTTTACCGGATGGAATATATGCAACATACCTAGCTAGCTAGGTCCATATCTATAGTTATAGTTACCTTGAACCAAAAAATAAAATATCTACCATAGCTAGAGCACATATTTTCCACAAAATTGAACCCTCTCATGCTGCATGATCCTTCAATGGAAGCTGCGACCTGACGGATCAAATTAATCAAAACAAGCCATGCAAACTTCAGTAGTATACAGCCCGCACCGCTTGCTCTTGGGAATGGATTCAGGGATGCGACCTGATAGCCATGGATGCAGGAATTCAAGTGATTACATCCTCAACAGTGATGAAAACAGCAACATGGTGATAGTTTTAGTAGCTTTGTTATGTGCATTCGTTTGTGCTCTTGGAATAAAGTCCATTGCACGATGTGCTATAAGATGTGGCTATAGAATTGGCTTTGAGACTCCGCAGCAGGCTGCTTCACGCCTAGCTGCGCCCGCTAATACAGGACTAATGAAAAGCGCAATGGGCCAGATTCCGGTGGTAACTTATGAATCAGGACTAAATATTCAGGTCACTGATTGTACAATATGCCTTGGAGAGTTTTCGGAAGGCGAAAAGGTAAGAGTGCTACCAAATTGTAGCCATGGTTTCCATGTTATATGCATAGACAAATGGTTATTGTTACATTCATCATGTCCCTTATGCCGACAAACATTAGCACTTGATCAGTCAGCAAATAACTGTGATGTAGACGAGCCAAATGTGAGAACACCGATCCTGGAAAATGGAACCGGCGGATAACTGAGCACAATACACATGCGGGTGGCGAAACTCGATAAAGGAGTTGGTTGCCGGCACCAAATTTCCTGCGGGGGGGTCAAGCCTTGCTTCCATGGAACATTCTGTTATTGTAGAATGGAGGACAAACAGGAAACTTTATTTCATTAATGTACACATATATTTTCTTTTCTATGCTTAAGGTTGTGTTTAATTAATGTTCTAAAATAGAAGAGATAAATAACAATATATATATATATATATATAGAGAGAGAGAGAGAGTTAAAGGCACATACAATTTTATAGTGGATTTATATCATTTAAAAACAAAAAAGACAAGGAAACATGTTATCTCTCTATTATTTTTTTTCCTTTTGTTTCAAAATAATAACCAAATATTATCTTTTTGTTTGTGGATTTTGTTGTAAGTGTTAAATATGATATTATTATATATAGCATATTTATTCAAAAACTCTTATTTCATGGCTTTTGACTTCTGAATTTTAATTCAAATAGGTTTGAAATGTTTCCAAACTTTTTTGTTATTGGTTCTAATACAAAATACACAAAAATTCTGAACATAAAAACACTATATTACATATGGACTATATAAATGCTTATAGTGTTTATTTTATAGAAAAATCATCCCACATTTAATTAAACCACAGAGTATTAGCAAATAAAAACAAATGATCAAGTACAAGAACAAACAAACATAAAGCATCCCGATTCATTAAGGGACCTTCCTACAAGGGCAGCTGGTGATGTTTGGGAGTACTGTAAGGAGAATAAGGTGAGCTTCTAACAAAAGAAGGAAGATCTTGACTCATGCTAACACCTGCCTTATTGGAGGGCCTTGGAGGAGTCACAGCATTTCTTGATCTTGAGGTCATGTTGCCTTGGCCGAATGCTCTCTCCCCTGCCCTTCTCGGCCCCTTCTCAGCCCACCTGAGCTCCGCTTGCTTTACATCACTAGGATACCCCGAACAACACCCTACCATTCCTG